ATTTAATAACATGTCACAGATCATACTGACCTTCATATATTATAAAAAATATTTGCACCCCAACAGACAACACACCTAATTCTGCTCTGAACATTATTTGCATTATTTTGTAACGAACCAAATCATAGAATTTCCTGATAGCAGATGTAAACAGAGGATTTGTGTGTTCATAGTAACCAGACTTGTTAATAACACGTATGGCTCGTTTTTGTAAAAGTACTATATCATTAATTGTTGTTTTGTATGTCAAACACACACTTCACACAGTAAGATATATATGGAAGTMTAATAATATGCAAAGTCTTGTAATTTAATACATTTCTAGACTTATATATTGTTTTTGCTATCTTTTCCTTTATATATTTAATAAGTTGTCTCCATGTTAGTTTAGAATCAATAATAATCCCTAAAATTTTATTTCAGACACTCGTTTAATTTCATCATCACATATTTTTAATATCATGTCTCTAGTAGTTTGTTTTTGATTTTCAAACACCATGAATTTAGTTTTGTTTATATTAAGTGATAATCTGTTGATATCAAACCAGGTTTTAAGATTTTATAATTTTATAACATAATATATATTATGGTATAAAAATGTTTTAATGGGAGAATTATAAATTACTTTTTTACTTTTGGCAACACAAAACAGCTGATTTATTTAGAAGCTCGTTTAATTTAAAACTCGTAATTTGATGAATAAGTGRGTTTTTTTCCCTAAACTTACTGGTATCCAGAATGTTCCAGTAAGCAGGGCTTCCAGTGGTCACTGGTGACCCAACACTCTGAAGAACTGTAGAGGTTTGCTTTAAACTGGGCTCACAAAATAATAAAAATAACAAGAACCCCCATTATTCAGGCAGATTATTTCACAGTATGCTCCTTTCTGTTTGAATTATTTTGCAGCCATGAATGTTTCTGTGGTTGGTCCTTGATGAAGTTTAACACTGGTTCAGCTGGTCCAACTGGGCTCCGACCAAACCCAGTGAGCAGAGGTCAATTTTGTAATGTTACCAAATTTTAACATAACTTTAACTCTACATGCAACATTAGCTTATTTGTCTTTTTATACATATTCAACCAGAGCTAACCGTAATGTGAGGAGACTGAGCGGAAATACAACACCGGTGTCTTTATCATACATCTTTGTTCTCCTCCTAACCCTAACCTTAACCCTAACACTGATTCATTACAATCATTTTCAAAACAACATCATGTGTCTGATGGTGGGTACAGGTCAGTACTGTTACAAGCTTGTATTTACTGAAAACATTGGTTTTCATTCCCATTCGGTTTACTTTGGCAAAGCTAAACCTGTCATTTTCGTCTCCAGCTAACTTGCTAGCTCTTAAGCTAGGTAGCCGCTAACTAGCCGTTTGCTTTCGTAAAATCAGCTCTGACCATCGTTATCTAGACACTCAAGTTTGAAAATACCACTTACCAGTTCGGCTTCTCTCTTTTGAAGATTAATATCGTTTATTTGCTTGGTGTCAAACAGATTTTGTGGTTGCTAAAGTTTGAATCCATGTCAGAAAGCACACAAGATGTAGCGGGCGCTTAGCTAGGACAGGGCGGAACTTYGTTCCGGATTGTGTACAACACCGGAACCTTTACACAGGCGCACTGTCCGTCGTCTACGCTGTCCTCTGGTAGAATAAAATGGGTTAAACCTATTATATATATATATATATATATATATATATAAAAACACCCTTTGTGAAAATGCAGTACACAAGTAATGCTTGTATTCACTGTAGAAAAATTTATACCTATAATCTTTCAACCAAGATACTTGTTGTAATTTAGGTTATAAATTCCAGACAACTCATTCTTAAATTGTCTGTTATCTTACAGGTAAAACTTYTCAAATATCCAACATCCAATAAAACACTATTGTAGTCAATAGTTTCCATAAGTTGCTTTCCTGTAAAATGTGTATTTGAATGTWACAAAAAGACACAGACAGCCAAGTTGAAAGGAAACTCCAATTTATTTTTATTTATACAAACAATACGGCCATTTACTTCAGAGGGATGAAACGAGAAGAGTGTGTGGCTCCAATACCAGGGCGACCGTGCTTCACTGGTTTGTAGGTGATGGAAAACTCCCCYAAGTAGTGCCCACACATCTCAGGCTGTGAAGACAAAAGCTTCAGTAAGTACAGAGTGTAACCAGCAGGAAATACATTCAGCTTCAGAAAACCTAATCACAGGATGCAATACGACTTTGAAAGACAAATGACAGCAATACAGCATTTAATTTTCTGAGGAAAACAACTTTAAACACTGAGCTGTTTCAAGCCTTTATTGTTAGTTGTACTAATCCAGTGAAATTCCTTGTCTCTATACATCCAGTAAGTTCTAACATCTTTTTRTTATCAGACACTAAGTTACGTTGTCTCTTCAGACATGTCTCAACATCTTACATCCATGTTTATCAGAGGTCACAGCTAATGTTTGGAGGTACTGCCAACCCATCAGTAAATATGTCCTGCTGGCCTCAGTGCAGGAGGATGTCACTGCAGGGAAGAGTTTGTAGACCCACTCATCATCCACAGACAGGACAACAAACCTCAGTGTTGGATCATGGAGGCCATGGAAATTAGAAAGCAGAGCCACAGTTATGAACAGGGATGAGGGGTCTACAACCTTTTATACCTACAGTGACGTCTCAGAAAGGAGTGTGGACTTGTCTTTACAGCATATACTGATGGTTGACACCAGCTTCAAACACCAGCTGTGACACCTCTGATGGACATTAGACATCAAAACATGTCAGGGATGGGTTTAGAGACAAACTAACTTAGTGTCCAAAAACAAAAGATTTTAGAACTTGTTAGTTGTTGAGGTCAAAATGCAGAAAAGCTTCCAAGCAGCAGCAAATTTTTTTAATGTTCAAAGAAAATATTTATGTG